GTGCTGTAGCAGTCCTTTCCGTGTAGGCTCCAAATCTCAGGGAGCTAGGATGGTTAGTAGTGAAATATCATGCAAAAGTTACTTTCGTACTTAATTTGCAGACCAGTGTACAGGGTGGCCGAAAACTATAGGGCGCCGCTTTGACCGCTTGCTGGCACTGAGCCATGGAGTATTTTATAGAGTGTTTCAAAACTCTTCGAAAGCTTTGAAACTATGTAAGAAGCACCATAAGTTGTTTGGTCCAAAGTTCATCTGAACTCTCGCCATGAAGATTTTTTGCATCGACCCATTACCAAGAGGCTGCCCAATGACGGTCTCTGAAATTGCAACTTCGGAAAGCGACTCGGTATTCCCTCTTCAACTCTTTGAAACATGTTCGGTGCTCTCAAGGTTCAAGCACACGTCTCTGGGATTGCGAAAAGTGGAAGTTCAAGAACTGTGCACACTCAGAGGATTGGGGCAATCACCTAGAAGAGGATGGCTCACAACGATGAAGCCAGCGTGAGTCACATCGCTTTTGATCTCAGGATCTGCCGTCACTCCTTCCAGAAAATCTTGGGAAGCAGTCATTATTTGAAGAGGTTACCGACTCTTTCTATGCTGGTTTTTATTGGAGCAACCCGAATAGATTCAACTGATAAAATGCAAAAAGTTTCTGCACGAGCTCGAGGTGCGCCGCGTCTCTCTTACGGATTGGGTTAATGAGAAAATTTTCGAACTAAACTTCTTTGCGACCACCAAAGTCAGAGGCAGTTGTTGCCAAAGAGTGGTCTTGCAAACGACTTTGATAAGGTCCGATATGTTGTTCTGGGATTAAGAGCATTTTGCTCAATGATCGTTTGCTCTTCAATGAAGCTGGGCTCCCTAATACGCGTTCAAATCGACCAAAGCCATCCTGGGCGCTCACTTCCGGGCCACTGGAGCAAGGAATTGTGACCTTCTTCCTCTCAGGCCCTTAACCCGTGGACTCCTCTATGTGAGGATGTTGTAGAGCAAGACCTCATAAGACTTCTCCAGCTCGGTGGGTGCTCTGAAGTTAGCGCTTCAGAAGAGGTGGGACGACATCGCCGTTGGCTACCTGCGGCGCACTGCTGATTTTGTCGTTGGACGTCAGAAGGCCTCTCTCAAAGCAGAGTCGTCAAATTTCGAAAGCCTTCTCTGCACAAGTGATAAGTCGACTAGCTTAGCTCCTATATCTTTCATAGAGTCGCGTTTTCTAATCGTGATTCTCTTTCTCTGCGCTTTTACGACACAAAAAACATGGACGTCCTATACTTTTTTGGCCACCTGTATATGTATTAATATATATAATTATGGTTGAACTACTATTATTACACGATATCGTATTTAGGGCTTTCGTGCGCCGTCATCTGTTTGGGGCCAAATATAAGCAAAAGCAGAGTGCTCGGTCAAATGGAGGGGATGGCGCCGTTGCCGGTTCCGAGTAAATCATTTATTTGCCCAAGATGCGGATGCTTAACGTTTTTGTTTGGGGAGAAGGAGATTGTATCATAAATTCAGTTTAAGTATTGAATTATCATCGAATAAAGTTCATTACATTTAAACGTTCAAGTTTTGTCTCCAGCAGCAGCTTGGAACTTCCACTGGACCCGAGGTTAGCAAAAGGATGAGTATACAAAAAAAGGATCTCACGAAGTTAGAGAGGCATGTCTGCCCGCAAGTTATAACGATGCCGTATGTAGTTATCAGGATACTCATTTTAAAGGGGCATTTTGCGAGCGAATTGAATGACATAAATGCAATGTACACATGAACAAACACGCAATGTTTCTGGATAATAAAAATCCCACATATGGGGGATTGCTCTGATAATGGACAGTACGAGCAAATGTGCCAATTGTACTTTAGTGCCGTTACATATAGGAGGTGGAGGAAGGATACGACGCTCTCACGCGGCAGCGCGCTCAGGCTCAGCGTCGATAGTACGCTGCGACGCTCGACCATTTTGGATTGCTGCCCTGGACCGCAGGGGCAGCCTCGTTGTTGGCATTACCTTCGGAACGGTTACCGCAGAAAGCGCGTCGATGCGAGCGCAATTATACGTGATTGCGGCAGGAACGTCGTAATTTATGCCTTACTTCGGGTGCTCGCTCGGTCCAAGCGGCTTATCTCCTATTAGAATGCTGGTAATAATGCTGCAACTTCTCATAGTCCATGCCCATAAACATGCATCATTTTCCGGAAAGTAACACGGTCTAGCGGTCGACCAGACTTGGAATAAGCAAAACAATACTCACTGCAACTATGTAGCCCTCAGCGCAAAAACAACACTACCAATCGCGAATGTTGGTGCGGTTTCAGCACGTTAAACATGCATTCCAGTATACCATCTTACATCGGACGAGTAGAAACACACTGATCAGTTGCTGACACCGGGGAATTTCGAACTCGCAGCAAATTAGCGCCTCGAAATGTGTCGACGGACGACTTCTCAAAAAAATGTAGAATATGCGATGGTTTGCTCATTTACGCGATTGAGCAAATTTAGTGAATTCTCCGTTATCGAGCTAATTGCTCTTATCAGTCCTCATCAGCTGTTATCTCGCTTTCTCCCCCACAAAATAAGTTTCTGTCCCGCTACTTACATATATCTATATCTATATATCTATCTATAAGGAACACCTTACTGCTGCTGGGCGTGCGCGTTATGAATTTTCCGACCTTGCGGTTGTTAGTGCTCCTGTATCAGCCCCTAGTTCAGAACAATAAAGATATATCGTTTTTGTGCACTAGCCATCAGTCAAGCAGATAGGAAATGTTTAACTGATTTGAAACACTTACAGTTTGAAAGGCGTTGGAGGTGGGCCCAGCCGGCCTCCGAGAGGGCGGGCTTCACTGCACACCCACAAGTGCCGTCAGAAGTCGTCTACTATGGACATGGCGACGCATTATGAAACTGCGGTTGTATCTGCCGTTATGCGAAAGTGAGGAACCGTGCACAAAAGATACATGATTCACCCAGCTCAGCGTGTTCAAACATGGTAATGCGCTTGTTTATTGGGTAGGCAAACTGGTAGGGACGTTAGGTTGTACTCATAAAGAAAACATCTGGTCGTAACCGGAAAGGAACTTTCGGTTGTGCCGCTTTGGCAAGAAGCGGGAAACACAATGGTGGTCTGGTGACTTGCGTCATTAATTGATTGGACGATGAATAAGCCTACCTTCTGTTGCCAGAAAATCTTTTGAGCTGCTTTTTTTTTTTCAGCAGTAAATCGATAAAAATCGAGTGAATGGGTACCAGGGATATGAGTCTAAAAAAAAGCTTAAAGCTTTTTGCGCTTGAATTCGAATCCCTGTTTTGGGATGCGGCACGCATTCTACTTCCATTTGTACATTCGTAGTGTGGCATTTGAATGCGATGTGGCCTATACAATGACTTGCGGGGGCCAGCCGATGTTCAAGTCAGTGTTTTTTATCCTCCCAGACAAGTCTGGTACCAATTAACCGACCCCGGAGGGATGGAAGGCTTGGTTGGCCCGGGCGACTCACGACCCAGGATTTGATCCCGGACCGCTCGCGTGGTGAGCGCGCCACTTGTCACTGCACCACTTCCGCCCACAGCTTGAGAATGGAATGCATCTCACAACTGCCGCATTTTCCTTGCATCCTAGATGCCCTCTATGTAAATTAGTGATAGTGTCACGTACCAGAGCGCTCTGCACCTTCATCCTGTTAGAAATGGCACGATCGGTAAATTTGTTTTTCTTACGGTTTACCCTAAAAGACCCTGAGGGAAGCTGCTGAGCGGAGCTATGGTGGAATCAAGGTGAGAAAGCGTTCTTAGGAATTCCACTTTTTATGATTTTAGGTCTTAATTGTAAGAGTTCCTGGCTTAGCGCGTATTGCGGATAGAAAAAGTGCAAGAAGTTTCGAACGCTTTCAATCCTTGTACACGACGATTGTGTCGAAGCGCCAGGCAAATAAATATTCCACCATCGAAGACCTGTCAGGCACAGAAGGAATACTACTATCCACAGTTTTCCAGAGTACATTCCTGCCCCCCCATTATTACGCAATTGTACTTGTACACAGAAGTAGGTTAGGTTGAAAAATCCAGGCTACAGAAATAGGAATTTGTAGCAGCTGGTGATATCAAAAGCGTTCGAAACGGGAGTTCTTCATAATCCATCCTAGTTATCAAAGACCTCAACCTTTTTGCTCCATTTGGGCCAACTCATTCTAATCGAAGTTATAAATAATGAGGACTGGAAAGCAAGAGTGATATCTTTCTTCGATTCTGTTTCCGGTGATTTGACAAAATGGAATCACATGAGTGACTCGGCGAAGAGAACATTGCTTCTCTTCTCACTCCTATGTATCGTTTTAAACGTTTGTGCTGATTAAAATGGTAGATATTATGCAACAACTTGGTATTCATCGTTACGTTGCCACGAATCCATTTATAATGCCTTTTCAGCCTTTTGAAAGCACTGAGAGCGGGAAGTTTTTTAGTCGACTGTTTTCAGTCATGGGAATCGTGCTGTTTTTGCTGACTGCAACGTTCCATGCCACTGCAGGGCGTCAAAATTATTACATGTGAGTTATCAAAATGTTAATGGGGAAACACATACAAAGGAAACTAGTGGTTTCAGTAAGAAAAATTAGGATTATTTTCATGTCACAATAGCCAGCATCAAGACTTTCTGTTTAGGTACGACAAACCCCAAACACTGGAAAACCGTCAGACAATGGTACATCTACTGGAATGGAAATGGCCAGATATAGCTACTGAATGCGAAACTTTCCTCCAACATTACGGTTATGGAGCAGTGCAGGTGAAAAGGCATTATAGTCACAGTTACAAAAGTTTATTGAATGAATGTTGTTACTCAGGCTTGTTCTGCGTAATCTTCTGGTTTGTATGCTCACAGTCAGTGGTGATGGCCACAGTTTCCCATCAGCCCCTGGACATCTTTTCCTGCCTATGCTTTACCCCATCCCATTTTGCTTACTAGCTTTCGTGAGGTCAACACCTCGTGGAGGGACGCTATACGCAGAGTACACTCATTATCTCTTAGTCTGAGTAATCGTGCCGACATGGCTGCCGCCGCACTTGATAGAAGTCGAGTATAGGCTGTTGTTGTCATGCTGTAATCCAATAGTGCGCTCTGCCTCGTTCCCTCAGATGTTATTGAGGGCCCTACAGCTAATCACACCTTCGGTCTTAAGCGGGGCACACATACACCGATGGGGGACGCGAACGCATGTGAACGTGCGTTGACGCTTCGCCAAGGTGAATATCACTGCAACGGAAGCACACGAGAATGCTCTACGCACCTCATTTGCCGCCTTAGCCTCCTGGCGGCCGTGGGCAGAGCCCCCCCCCCCCCCGATACCTCAACCGCCGACAGAGGCGACACTTGATGAAGACTGGCCTCTGCTGGGGCTGTGGCCACCTCTCACACCTGTAAATAGCTCGCTCGAAACTCTACTTGAAAGCGATTCTGGCATTGCTTATTATGTTCGGTTAATTAAATTAATTAGGTCGAATTATGTAAACTACTATATTTGAGTCTATCAAAGTCTTTCACGCTTACGCCACAGTTTCTTTCCCTTCTCCTTTGCCGCTACTTATTGTACGTTGGGAAAACTACAATATACTTCCAGGTCTCACCACCTTATGAACATATTATGATCACGGTGAACGGCGACGTGCCCTGGTGGGTTAGGTGAGCATATTTTTTGGTACTTCTTATGCGAATCTCGAGGCAGTGCTCCGGCCTGCCAGAAGATGGCCTCCTCCCAAGTATGTGAATAAGTGCATACAATTCGTAGACATGGGGAATCATAACAGGACCACCTACATATTCCTGAATCTATAATCCTATGCTTCAAAACGACCGTAGCTTGTGATCTGGTGATGAGTATATCTTTTTGCCCCCTTTTATCCGATTGCAGCTTGAAATTTAGGTACCAGCCAGTGAGCTACAAACTTATTTCACGGGTATGTACAAAGAGGAACAATATTCTATATGGAAATGTAACGATGCAACAAAGTTGGCGTTAAGGTTGCTCTTGAGCCTAAGTAGATTCACTTATTAAACATTGGATAGGAGGAATGGTGACTAGATTCTCGCGATAAGTATCCTCAACCCTACAACTCATCTACAGAGTATATAGTGCTTTTTCGCTCTAAAATCCCAGCAACGTATTTAAGCTCTGAAAATTCAGCGCTACATTTTCATTTGCAGAATTGTCGTTGATGTTATCTTGAACCATATGACCTCAGTTTGGCATATAAGTCTGGAGAACCTGGACTGAAGCACCACCGGTGGAAGCTTTTTTGATGGCACACCTTTTGCGGAAAAATATCCTGAAGTAGTAGTACAATCCTTTTGACCTCAATTTATGGTGGCAACTCAGATGCATCCGATCTCCTGTTACTCTTCAGGTACCTTACACTAGCGCAGACTTTAATGACTTCCGATGCAATCATAATATCACAGGCGACGACTACGTGAGCAATCCTGCTGGTGTACGTTAATCTTTCCCATCTTATGGCCATAGGGCGGAATTGACGCTTTACTAGAATATTGAATTAAGGTTAGAAACTGCCGTCTTGACGCTCTTGCTGATCTGAACCAGGGCTCGCCTGGAGTGAGAAAGAAATTGGTAGCGTTTCTGGACAGACTGATTGATTATGGAGTCGCAGCTTCTCTGTGATATTTAGTGTGTAGGCATTCCGGGAGGCAGGGTCAACCGTCACGTTCGAACATTTTCGGGATTTTTGCGACCCCTCCCTCTCGAGAGGGTCCAGTTGCGACCCCCCCCAATACAACCAGCCTTCCTCCACCGCGACCTCTCCCTCTTCTATAGTATTTGATTCTGAGACCAGTTGACACAGCCCAAAACCTACCTAACCGAAACTCCCGAAACTCCACCCACTTTTTCCCCAAAAACAGCCGTCGAGCGGGGGGGGGGAACATATACAACAGC